AGTCCACTTAAGCAACTTACCCGAAGCCTCTAGCTTCTGAAGGACCTGCCTGAGTGGGTAGTTGGTTAATACATGAATGATGTGGGCATGGAAGTAAGGTTGCAGCTTCCTGGAAGCGATCAGTAAGGCATAAGCCAATCGTTCCATCTCTGGATATTGTGTCTCGGCGTCCAATAGTCATTTGCTCGTGTAATATACTGACCACTGAATTTTGTCCTCTTTTCGAATAAGAGCTGTGCTGACCTTATACTGAAAGACGGACAAGTCGAGAAATAAGATTTCCTTGGGAAGAGGCTTGGACAGAAGATGTGGCTTTCTGAGATGCTCTTTTATGCTCTAGAAGGCTCGCTTACACTCTAGAGTCCATTCAAATCTCTTGTTGGCTTTAAGTATATTGAAGAATGACAAACAATGATTTGTTGCTCTTGATATGAAGCAACTAAGAGCCGATATTCTCCCATTCAAGCTCTGAACTTACTTTCAATTGACAAGACTTTTTGTATCTAGGAGAGCTTGGATCTTCTCGGGGTTGACTTTAATTCCCCGATGGTTAACCATATACCCCAGAAAATTTCTTGAGGATATTCCGAATGAACACTTAAGAGGATTAAGTTTCATTCTATATCCCCAAAGTATGTCAAACATTTTTGCGAGGTTAGCTATGTGATTTGAAGCGGCATGTGACTTGACCAGTATGTCATCGACATAGAACTCCATTGATTTCTCGATCTACTCAAATAACATATGGTTAACCAAACACTAGTAGGTCACCCCAGCATTTTTCAGACCGAAGGGTATGACTTTATAGCAGTATAGTCCTTGATTTATAATGAACGAGGTATGCTCCTCATCGGACGTACATTAGGATATGATTATACCCCAAGTAGGCATCCATGAAGCTCAACAGCTCGTGCCCAGAAGTGGCATCAACGAGTTGATCGATTTTGGGCAAAGGGAAATTGTCCTTTGAACAAGCTTTGTTGAGATCTATGAAATCAACACATATTCGCCACTTGCTATTGGGTTTCTTCACAAAAACAGGATTGGCGACCCAACTCGGGTAATGAGCTTTTCGAATGAACCCAATTGAGAGGAGTTTATCCACCTAAACTTTAAGAGCAACATGACGCTCTGGGTCCACGGCTCTTCTTTTCTGGTACATGACATATAACATTCAGGCTAATCCTAATCATATTAGCATGAGTCCATGCAAAAACATTTATATTCTGCCTGAGGAAGCTTGTTAGATTAGTAGCAAGCTGAGGGCTAAGATTGCTTCCAATTCTCAACATACGAGTTAGCTCATTTTGGTCGACTTCAGATAGAGTCTTAACAGGCCCACTGTGGGAATACTCCTCTTGAACACGAGGATCTATGTTGTCTTCCACTGGACCTAGCTATGGTTTGATCCTGTTGATCGCCATAACTTACTCGGGAACGCCCACTGGCTTCCCTTTCCCTTTGCATGTCATCTGCACTGCTCTTACATAGCAGTCACAAGATTCACGATAAGACCCCTTAACTTCCCCACACCCTGTCAGAGTGGGAAATTTCATCTTTAAATGAGGTGACAACTTTAAAATTCTGGAGTAGAGGTCGTCCCAATATGCCATTAAAAGCGGACAAACAGTCTACCACTAGAAATTTTGTCATCTTAGTCACTTCGTGGGTCTCACCCAAAGTGACAAGAAGTGCAATCGTTCTTTTGAGAATCAAATGATCTTAGTAAAGCCATAGAGAGAGATAGAGGCAGGCTTCAGATTTGTCTCTTCCAACTGCATTTCCTTGGATGCCCGTTGAAATATGATGTTTAGGCGCTCCCATTATCCACCAATATTCTATGGACTTCGCACCGACCTATTTCAGCCACGATGACGAGTGCATCCTCATGAGGGTGATGCAATCGTATCGCGTCTTTCTCTGAGAAGGTAATCTCTTCTTCTTTGCGCACCTTAACAGGTTGCAACACCGTATTTAATATACTCACGGGATCATGATGAGTTTCACAAGCGTACTTTTCCTGAGCACCTCGAGAATTCCCCGTGAGGTATGGTTCTCCAAATATAATACCAACGAAATGGAGACCCTTGCGACCACAATGTTTCTTCTCATCGTCCTCTTAATCCTTCTCCCGAGTGGGAGTTGGACCATCCATATACTTCTTGAAGTGCCCATTTTTAATGAGATCTTCAATTACCTGTTTAAGAGCTCGACACTCATTGGTTGAAGAGGGATTTTTCATGGGCTCTGGCTCTTCGAGCAGATTAGCTTCTTTTGATTTATCCAGAATAGCTGATATCAATGCATTCAGTGGAGTAAACGGATTCTTGTCGTGATCACGACGAGGGACTTAGGCATAAGATTTCTTGGGCTCAAATCGCTAATTTCTTTCCATTTCTCTAATCGTTATTAGCCCATTTGCGATCAGACCTTCTACTATTCTCTCCCCAGTTTTCCTCCCTCCGACTGGGAGCGCTGGTGGAAGAACCAGGGTCATGGCGATTCAAGGTAGCCACAAAATTTTCAATCTAAGATATTTCTCAGTGAGGTTATAGAAGCAAGTGAGAGAAATATTATCCTCAGATTGCAGTTTCTTCCACAGGTCAATTTGCAAGCGAACTCCTATAATAATAAGAGTTCGAACTGAATCTTCAAGTGTGTTAGCCACCTTATTTAGCTCCCTATGGAATTTGTTAATATAAGATTGGAATGATTCATTTCTCTCATACCGTATGTTGCTAAGATAGCTCAACGACATTGTGAACTTCCTATTGGCTTGGAAGTGTTTAAAAAATAACGAACTCATCCGCTACCACGAGTTGATAGATCCTGGTGAAAGTGACCTAAACCAGCGCTTAGCATTGGCAGTCAGAGTCATTGCTAAGCAGCAGCATTTAGCCAAGTTGGAAACTTAGTGGAGCTCTATGAGATCGTTAAACTCATAGAGATGATCATGTGGATTAGAATTCCTATGGAATGCTCGTATATCGGGCATTCTAAACCTTGACAGGAGATGAGCAATCAAAATTGTTGGAGAAAAGGAAGATGCCTCAGCGACCTGCCCTCGCTCATTTTACTAAGCTCTAAGTTGATCCAGAGCTCGCTGTAACTCCTCAATCTGAGAAAGCGGAGCCACCTAGGGATCACTTTCTACAATATGGGTTCACTAGCCATGATTGTGATTGAGAAAAGACTGCAGATCGGACTCTTCCACACCTTGGGCAGAGCTTTCAGCATACCTTGACACATGGTGGCTAGAGTCATGTGAAGGCACTGAATAGCTAGGGGAGTTATCTCGACCTCCGTGGTAGTCAGAATAGACCCACGGATGGTGGGTATTTCCTTCGCGGTGATGGTCGGAACCATCATTCCGACGATAATAAGAATCTCCATGCCGTGTACTCTTGTAGGGGTGCCCATACGATGTGGTGTGAGACGACTCATGATGTGACATATCGCCAAGTCGCAAAGCTACACGTATTCTATATGCTTCACAACCGGTATTCACTGGCCCTTTCAAGCCTTTTGGCCCATTGTTAGCCACCTGCTTGCTCTTGTTCTTACGCGTTGTAGTGCGCATGGTATGAGCTTTCACCTGTTTCCACGCTTTAGCATGACCTACAAACGTTTTTGGAGGTGACACCACCTTGTTAGAATTGGGCGGTACAACCTGATCCAAACGATCTAACCTTCGGTTAACCGTTTGGAGAGTATTGTTGAACCTTTCTATGTAAATCATTACAGCTGGATCGAGCTGTGAGGTTAAGGGGATGTCCGTCGTGGTACCTTGGGGAATTGGATGTATTTCGGGAGAAGTAATATCCTGTACCCGGGGGATCTCCCCGTTGTTGGTGTTAGTTCTCTCGGTTTCAAGACCACGAGCCATTTGTTTGCTAGTAGAACTGATAGATCAGAGATTTTGAATGACGAGCAGATATCAAATCAGGCCCTCCTTCTAACGCCAAACTGTTGATGCGTGATTTTGACACCAACGACTCGCAAGTGCTAAGTGCTAAGCTGTTCTTAGAAATTACACGTGAATGATTATGTGAAAGCTAATCAATATAATTGAATGCAAAGACTGAATAATAAATGAGAAATGATTTTTAAAGTGGTTCGGATGCTTAAAGCGATTCCTACGTCCACTGTTTCTTTTATATATGTGAGATTACATGAGGTCGCGTATAGCGAACAACGAGCAGAGGTACAATAACTGAATACTCAGAGAGAATATCAAGTCGGTCTCTTTCTGTGAAAATAAAGATTACAATCAGAATAAGGGTTCAGGATCCCGAAAATGAGAGGGGGAGTCATCTATTTATAGTAGTAGGATTCAACGTAATGATTACAAATCTACAAGTGAGTAGGTATCATGCAAGTCCTTTCTTACCTCCGTTTGACTGATAACTTAGGAAATATCATCAAATTATCTAGGGCTTGGACAGGTGTGCAGTCCTCAATCACTCATTAACAAAACCTGAATCTGCTAAGTTGATGATAGCCATATTTTTTCTGTCATAGAGTAATATGATAGCTCCTAAACGATGTAAAACCTTCATGAACTTTGATTGATGCTTCCTAACGTAAGCTTATGAGTTTTTTAGGCATATCAATAATAAATTTATCTTTATATCTTTTGATTATAATATCTGTTTGTTGTTTTATTTTATTAAATTACTGAAAAAGGTTAAATTAAAACCAACCAAATCAACACCCAATCAAATTCCAGCGCAATTAGTACAAAGGTAACGGCCGCGGGACACGTGACACGCACACATGTAAGGAATAAGAGAGGAGGCCACTAACGTGAACACACGGGTGCGGAGGGCCTAAACCTGCGCACACACTTGCAGCGTAACCGTGTGAAGAAGAGGAGGGAAATAAAAAGGCAAACAAGGAAAGAGGGAGAGTGAGAGAGAGAGAGAGAGCAACTCTACTAGTGAGAGAGTAGGAGAGAGATTGAATTGAGTCGATTCTAATGAGTTGGGTCCCGAGTCAAAGTGACCGAATCAACAAAATCTTAAAATCACACCTTAACAAAAACAAAAAATAAAACACAGCGGAGTGTGGGTTTGGGTTAGGGCGTGGCACTAGAAAAAAAATGGAGAACAAGAAGATAATTAGTGATCTTTCCTTTACCTCTCTCATTCCCATCATTGTTACCTATTCTTCTCTAACCCTGACTCTTATCTCTAACCCCACTTTTTTCACATTAACAAAAACTCCCCTCTTTTTTTACATACCCACCAAACCTATACCACTCAATTCTTCTCCCTTTCTCTCTACTTTTCTTCTTTGCCTCTTGTTTCCGTCTCGACCCAGAGTTTCCGTCTCGTTGTCAAGTTTTTTCTTGTTTCTTGACCGAGGGAGAAGGTGACGAATCTGTCTTTCTCATGAGCTTTTCGTTTTGTTATTGTTTCTTTTCGTTGTTGGCTCTCTCGATTTTGGGTTTGACGATGGTTGGTGAATGTGTTAAGTTTTTGTTTCTTGATTTCTTAATTTTGTTCTCTGTTTTTGTAGCCCTGAGATTGGTGGGCTTAGATTTGTATGTTCGCTAAGAATTGTCAATTTATTTTGTTCAATGATGTGAGGTTCTCGATTACCTTCCTTCATTCTATTTCGGTTCTACCTATGTATTTGTGTAATCCGCATTCTATTGCATTTGAATTTCTTCACTTTCATGAATTTTAGATCTGTTTATTAGGTATTGTGCTATGGTCCTGGGTTTTTAGATTCTCCGGCTATGTGCATTGCCCAACTTTTTTTCATTAAATAATTCATGTCACTGGCAATTGCTTTGTTGAGTAACATTTTATTCTTATTGTTCGTTTTTTTCTTTCGTCTCTTGTTTTCTGTTAGGATCTGTCCAATACAAGAACTCATTGGTTCTCATTTTATTTTTGGTGTAGCATTTTCAAACTTTCTACATTGCATACTTTCTGCGGTATTTTTTGGTTACATGATCTGAGAAGTAGTGGCAGCACTGTATCTGGGATATAACAATTTTTGGTTCATGGAAGAGTTGGGGGGCCATTGTTTTAATGGTATTAATAATGCTATCAAGAAGAAGAGAAGTCAAACTTCTCGCCGACCACGACCTGATTCCCAATCTTTTGTTGAAAGTCGTGATTCAACGCCACCTTCAGATGATGTGAGCAAGATCTCTAGTGATGAGAACGTTGGGTGTGGTAATAAATCTAAGCGGAAAGAGTTCAATCTCAATCAATCTGTTTCTGGGTTTTCTTCTGGTAGTGGATTTGAAGGTGAGAAACCCCAAAAAAAAGCTAAGAGGGAGGATGGAGGATTTAACATTTTCTACAATAGTGAAGTGGGGCGAAGTGGTCATAACAACAAACGTGCTAGTGAAGGTGTCCTTGCCCCTGCTAACTGGAGAAGGAATGGTGAAAGCCAGAGTCCAGGGCAGTTGGGAGTGAATTGTGATGGTTTAGGAAATGAGAGTAAGGTGAAAAAGGTTAAGCTCAAGGTTGGTGGTGTTACACACACTATACAGGCCAACTCCACAGCCAATGGTGTGGCAGGGGGTGGGTCTTCTAAGAATTCCCAGTCCCCAGATGACTCCAGACCAAGGCAGAAGCAGAATCTTCAGGTATACTGTTGCTTCTTGTCAGCTCAATTCTGTGAAATTTGGTAGCCTCATTCTCTTATAAAGAAACTATCTGGTATTAGGTTCGATTTCACTTGAATTTTTGGTCTGTTTCACTTACGTGAGTATCACTTGCCTTAACTTTGCTCATATGTGTCTAAATGGTTAGAGCATCCAAATGTGAAATTTTTTCTTTTTCTTTTTTAAGCATTTCCAGCTTTATATAGTTGGATAGAGAATTAAATCTTAATTGTTTGGAAGGATATCTTCAGTGTTAATGGGGTTTTTCATACCTTAATAAGTATTCACTGAACTATGTTTGGAATCCTGTGCAATCTTCTCATTTTAATGTTTCTATCGCAGGGAATTTCTGATGATAGCCTTTCCCCTCTAGATAAGAGGTCTGGCCTTCAAGGGATCCCTTGGAAGGATTTCTCAAGAGTTGGTTTTAGTTTGGGGAAGGAGGATCCATTGACGGGGAAGAGCACTGGAAAGAATTCCTTTGGGAAAAAAGGAGATCACTCTGGCACTGTTCGTAAGAGCAAGCGAGTATCTAAGAGGCGTGCGGTGGATGGAGAATTTGATGATGATGAGGATGACGAGATTCGATACCTGGAGAAACTTAAAACTTCAAAGGTTACATCAGGATATAAAGATGATGATGAAGAATTAGGCAAAAAACATCGAAAACTTTCTAGAGTGTCAAATTTGGAAAATGTTAGCACTTCAAGGTCAGGCAAAGATGGGAAGAAAAAGTCCAGGCCTGAGAGAGTGCCTGGGGACACTGATTATGAAGAGGAAGAAGAGGAGCCAGCGTCTGATGGCGAGGCTGGTGATAGAAAGAACAAAAAACAGAAGAAAGAATCTGTTGATATGTTGATGGATAATAAGAGGGAAATAGCACTGACAACACGTCAAAGGGCACTTCAGTCTAGCAAAGATACCTCTTCTGCTCCAGGTTCAAGTTTAATTGAGTTCCCAAATGGTTTACCACCTGCGCCACCAAGAAGTAAGCTTCTGCTGTGTCATATAGGTCATATAATTGGATTATTAATTGTATTACTCCATAATGTGGTGTTCTGTTTTTTTAATTTCTTCCTTTATTACAGAGCAAAAAGAGAAACTTACAGAAGTGGAGCAGCAACTAAAGAAAGCAGAAGCTGCTCAGAGACGAAGAATGCAAGTTGAGAAGGCTAATAGGGAAAATGAGGTCAATTACTTAAATATTTTGTGTACTGCAGTTTCTTTTTATGGATGTTTTGAGATCTAAAGGGGTGATAACAAGCATGTTTTGAGTGATTTTTATAGGCTGAGGCTATTAGAAAAATACTTGGTCAAGATTCTGGCAGGGAGAAGCGGAAAGCACAAAATAAAAAGCGCCAGGAAGCAATGGCACAGGTGGTACAAACTTATAGATAATTTTTTTTTTCTTAAGTCTTGTTTTTAAGCTAATCATTTGTTTTAACTTGTCAATTTTTGCAGGAGAAGGCTGCGAATGCACTGATGCTTGCATCGAGTACTATCAGATGGGTCATGGGTCCTACTGGGACAGTTGTGACATTTCCCAAAGATATGGGCCTCCCTAGTATTTTTGAATCAAAACCCTGCAGGTATTATCTGTTGGAAGTTGAGGTTGTTGTCTCTACCAAACAAATATATAGGCTATATGAAATACCATTACACATGAGATTAATTTTCTGTTTGTGATGTCTCTTTTTTTTTTGGTCTGGATATGCAGTTATCCTCCTCCACGTGAGAATTGTGCGGGTCCATCTTGTACTAACCCATACAAATATCGAGATTCGAAATCAAAGCTTCCTCTTTGCAGTCTCCAGTGCTATAAAGCAGTCCAAGAAAAACTGCAGGCTGAAACTACATGCTAATATTGCCAAGAATCTTGGTCCTGTCGTGGCACATGCAGGTAGTACTGCACATTTATGTTAGTAAATCTTTGTTTAGAGGCTGGCAGAAGTTATTTTTCTTCTAACTTCATGTATTTAGAGAGATTGATACAAGTATGGAATCTCATTGGCTGTATAAGCATTAAACAGCCCAAATAAACATCGGTATACAGCATATGCTTGGTGAACTTTGTGTTGCACATAAATAAGAGAGAATTAGATCAGAGTCTTGTAATTGAAGGAGCTTTTGTACTGATAATGTTCTTCACCAGTCTTTGATTGATTCAATTGGATTATTTGATGCTGGTATCTTTCTAGATTATCCTCCTACTGCAGTTTTGATATATTTCCTTTCTTGCCCGAAGGCCTATTTATATTACTTCGATTTTGTCCAAACCTGAATCGATGAATTTCAAGTGCATTATGCGCAGAAGGTGAAGTTTTTGATGTATGGATATGGGTGAATCCTCTGTGTTTTTATTCGTCAACATAAATTGACCAATGCGCTAGGCTAGCCACTCCATTATTCCACCTATTATTTGCCCTGTACGGTGGGCTATCACTATCACTACGCTTTTTATGTTGCAAGTGTAAAACCATTTTTACTTTTAGTTTATATGGGAATTATTTGTAATGTGAACTTTAATTTTACTTGCTTAAGGAAGAATCATGATAAAAACTAGATTCAACCACTACACAACATTATGAAATTATTCCACTCAGGCCTCAGCGATAACATTTTCAATTTTCAAACATAATATTTGGACGTCTCAACGAAGGAAACAAATACACAACTAAAACTAATAAATAATAATAAAAATTAAAAAAAAGTGAAACTCTATTAACTCATGCACCGAACAGATCGGGTTACCTGGTCTAACCCAATACAGAATGGGTCGGAGAAATTCAACTGATGAGAAAGTCGCTATTAAGTACTTTTCTTTCTGGAACACTACTACTCTTATAACTCCAAATCCGAGCGCCGTCCCTCTCCCGCCCCAAGTATCTAGCAGATAAGGCGCTCATTGTTTTGGCAACACCTCTATTGCGTTTGACCATAACTTGTGCTGGAAAAATCTGGTAGAATATGGCACACGCGTGCGTCTCCACGTCTTCGGCATCATCGTACTCTCTCTTCTTCTCTCCAAACCCTAGCGCCAGCGCCAATTCCGATTCTCAGAAGCTCTCTCTCGCTTTCCATCCCTTCCGCTCCTGGTATTTCTTTGCTTGCTTAAAAAATGAAATCTAACTTTTCACATTTGGCAGTTTTTTATCCATAAGTTTTGATTCTGGTATTAGGATACTTCACTTTTCATTCTTCAAAGAACACGAAATGAATCTGATATTAATAGCTGTAGCTAGCAAATTGAATGTCTTGCGTAAGTTGATTCGAGTTCGATAGAAATTTCATTCGAGGAAACAAGAAGTGAATGTCATTCTTTCTTTCTTTTTTTCCTCATTTTAATTGTTATCCAAATTATGTAATATTTGCTATCCAAGACCAAGTATATACCTTAAGAGACAAAATTTCTTAAAATTTTACCTCCAACCGACTAGTAAATTATATTATCAGTTATTTTCATCAACTCTTTTTTGGCAAAACTGAGCGGTAAGTTTTGGAGTTCCGCAGGAAATCAAAGAAACTAATTAGTGCTCCTAAGAACTTGCGAAATTCTTCACCAAAGGCTGTTTACTCTGGCAAGTTTTGGGCACCAGAGATGAGTTATCGGCAGGGGATTTGGTCTATTAGGTATGGTTCCTGAGAAAAGATCATACATAGCTCCTTAACGTCTTTATGTCACTATACTTGTAAATGAAAGATTTTCTGAAATTATATGCAGGGATGATTTGCAAATCCCATCGTCTCCATACTTCCCCGCATATGCACAAGGTCAAGGCCCACCTGCAATGGTGCAAGAGCGGTTTCAGAGTGTTATCAGTCAACTTTTTCAACATGTAAGGGACTTAGTTTGTTTCTTTTTGTGTTTAACTTTTTACTTCTTTTTTTTTTTAGTAGTGAACGTTTGTTTCTCCTGCCACTTATGATATTGGTGTTTGTTTGGACTGTTAGAGAATAATTCGCTGTGGTGGAGCTGTTGATGATGACATGGCAAATGTTATTGTTGCCCAGCTTCTGTACCTCGACGCTGTTGATCCTCAAAAGGTCCATTTGTTGTCTTTATTCTAGCAGCCAATGTCTTTGTGTATCATAGGCAAGTCTACAATCAACAAGCACCCACTCTTGAGCACTGTAAAGTTTGATGTTCATATTTTTATGCAAACACTGTTTATTGCTGTTTCATTACTACCAAGGATGATCTATTAATCTAGACTATTTTCTCACCAAGAATTTTTTTTTTTTTGTTAAATAATATTTTGCAAGTACTTTACCACTTAGTTACTGTTCTGATCTTCTGAACAGGATATTGTTATGTATGTTAACTCTCCTGGAGGATCGGTTACAGCAGGTAATATTCTTATTAAGATAATAACATATTAGTATTTTCTTGTTATGTTTAATTGTGTTATACATATTAGTAATTTTGTTCATTAATTGCCTGACGTTCATGCCTTTTGACTTTTCAGGTATGGCAATATTTGACACAATGAGGCATATTCGACCTGATGTCTCCACTGTCTGTGTTGGATTAGCAGCTAGGTACAGGCTTGATTGATATATTTTTTTCCTGTCAGCCATACCATTATACCTTGCATTGTTATTACATGTCACATATTAATACAGTTCCTTTCTTTTCCCCCCAAAAAAATGCTTTTCAACATGCATGTTTAATGACTACAATAATTCTCAAATGTTTTGCCATAATAAATATCGATGGGACTTTGTCATGAGTGTGATACTTTGTAAGTCTTTGATGCAATCTGATGGGTTCTATTGTTCATGTAGTTAAAATTGAGTTGGCTTGAGTTAGTGCTCCAATATTAGACTCCAAGAAGTGTTGCTTTTGAGTTATTGTTCCCAAGGTTGCCGTTCCAATAACAAGTAATAATTTTAATTGCTTATCCAATAAGGTATCTCAAGTTGTCGGAGATCACTTGCTAATGTTTTGGTCATTTGATGCCTCACGTTACAGAAACTCTGGCCTGTCAAGCATTTGATCAGAATTTTTGTGCCACATTGACAAGTTAAAATATTGGAGTCAATGGTGGCAACTTTAAAATATAAGCACAAAACGCTGGACAACATACTTACCTGGACGGGGCGATCAAGAAGACTAATGGCCTAGGGTGGTGGCCTCCATTGCACTTAGGAGGTGCACCAGCCTAAGGTCTCCCCAAGTGGGAGAGCCTACGTCATAATTTGTGGTAGTGGGGGCCTGCGTTCGCACGGCCCCTACCCAATTCTTTTATCCTAAGCTTTGTGAATCTGTTCATTTAGTAATTTGCAGCAAAATCCTTAGTGCTATTTAAACCTTAGTAATTTGGTGTAAATTCTATTTAATCTGTTGGAGCCAATCCTGCATTTTTCATTGCGCACAACTTTATTGAAAACACTTGAGAAGGTCAGGTCTCTTATGATATTTTGATGCTGTGGTTTGTTTGATGCATTCTGGGTGATTTTCATATGCCCTTGAATGCACAATGATGGAATGGATTTAATGATAATCACACTGGGGAATGGCTGAGTGCAATATTCTCTGTGTAATATGTCCCATATACTTGGGAGTTGAGTATCGATTTGAAAGTATATGTTGTTTGTTGTTTTTCTTAATTTACTAGAAATAGTTAGTACAATTAAAATGTTGAATGTACAAGAGAATAATTCATTTAAATGTCAAAACTATTAAATGTTTACTATATTGTCAATTAAACTTTTGCCATCAGTAATGGATGCACTCTCTTGTTTTTTCTTGCACAGCATGGGAGCTTTCCTACTTAGTGCTGGGGCCAAAGGTAAATAATTTCTCTTGCATTCTCTTGAGCCCCCTCTTGTGGTTCACCCACGTTTCCTAAACATATTTCCCTTTTCTGGCTCATGACTAAAGGAAAAAGATACAGTTTGCCAAACTCGAGGATAATGATCCATCAGCCTCTTGGTGGTGCACAAGGTGGGCAAACTGACATAGATATTCAGGTTAGCTCCTTTTTCCATTTTTGTTCCCCTCTACTCTCCCTGTCTTTATTTTATTTATTTATTTATTCCTTTTTTTGGTGTTAGAATAATAACAATGGCAGTTGTACTGTTTTAAAACTTTTTCACATTTTGTTGGGGGATATAACATCATTTGGGCTTTTCTGCAGTTGTAGGGGATAAGCGATACTGCCTTAGATTTAAATCTTACAGTATTGTAACTGATTTCTGCACTTTAAAACCAAATTTGAGAAAACTTTATCCAATTTGCAAGTTCTTATATACCTTGTATCAAGAAAACAAAGAATTTTATTTAAATTCTGGATCAAATAGGCTCTAAGCTTTACATTTAACTAAAAATTGCTTATTTCTTTAGAAAGTTACAACCCACCATTGGTTAGACAAAGAGATTGTTCTAAACAATTTGGCTTATATTTTGACATGACGGTGTTGGCATTGGTTTAAAGTTTTAAGTTCAGGGATGCATGTTCATCAATTACTTGATTCATAGAATTTAAACTTCTCTGGATGTAGCTTATTTTTTTAGTGCCATAACTAGTGTAAATTATTATTAGGCAAATGAAATGCTGCATCATAAAGCAAACCTGAATGGATATCTTTCCTACCATACTGGTCAAAGTCTTGAGAAGATCAACCAAGACACGGACCGTGACTTTTTCATGAGTGCAAAGGAAGCCAAGGAGTATGGGCTCATAGATGGTGTTATCATGAATCCTCTTAAAGCTCTTCAGCCGTTGGGAGCAAGTAACTGATGGTAATTAGCTGTTGATTGTTGCAATTATCGACACTGGTATGTTATAGAGTTGAACGAGAATGATCATTATAGCCATTTTGCGTATATTAGACTGCTGAATAATGAGTGGTGTAATACAGAGTCGAACAAAGATGATTTTTGCTGTTAGTTTTAGATGAATTAAAGGTTTAGAAAAATTGTTGATACTTTCTCTTTTTCTCTATGCACATCGATTGTGGCTTTGTTATCATATTAAAGGTTTAGAAAAATTGTTGATACCTTTTCTTTTTCTCTATGCACATCGATTGTGGCTTGTTGTCATAAATCCAATCTCTCTCTCACACGCTTGGCGGCGGCCACCAATTTCCACACATTTGGCTGTAGTTGATAGTGGATTCAAGGTACAGACAAAAAGTCTACCCATTTATTTTATAAATATCTGTATCTGGACCATAAGTCAAATCAATGACTAAATTGCCTTCCAGAAGATGAGCTTTGCCTAATTAAAATACAAACATGTTAAAACAAGGTGATGCATGAATATGGCTTTTTGACGTTATCTATTTGGATCTTTTGAAATTTGTATAATGGAAAACACCTATGAGGGTGTTTCAAAGTAGATTAAATTTCAGAATCCGTGATAATATGTTGTCCATAAGTAGATTCTATTATCATACACTGTTTGACAAGCATAATCTAAGCATTGTATTGAAGGATGAGAATCGGAAGGAAGTTTATACTGCAAATATGAAATACACGCAAAACAACATGCTTCTAACAGTTATTAAATTTAGGGCAATGCTATTATAAGAAGGCATAAGAACCATAGCAAACTCCTTAGATTTAAACAAGAAATATATGTTCACTGTCGGCGGATCAATAGAGTCGTGATATTGAAGTTAATTTTTACTTCTATTCGTTTCCAAAATGCACGGATAGTGTTATTGAGAATTTTAAGCATTTAATGATCCTAATTATCCAGTTTCATCCAACTAAATTAAAGTTTAAGTGACGTGCTTGCTTACGTTATATGGTATTGATTATCTTTATGGTTTGGAGTCTCGTGTCAATATTTGCCCTTATAAAGGATTCCAGCTTAGTAGTAGACGGATTCTATTAACGCCTAAATCCTAAATCATTCCCCCACCCAAAAAAAAAAGAAAAAACAAAAGAAACTGATAAATATCTAGAAGACAGATTTAGGAACTTTACCGGTATTTCTAATCATACCCTCAAAAGAAAAAGAAAAAGAAAAAAATTCAAAAATTGTCCACAATCAGAACATCCCATCAGCCGAATCAATCACTAAAAAGAAAATTGAGAAAAATGAAACCCACTCAAAAGGGCAAAAAAGGCCCTCGTGTATCATAAAGATATAAGTGCACCCACTCGTGAACCTCGTGCCATCTTTAATGATAATTATAATCTAAAGAAACCACCACCCACAAAAGAATCCACCACCAAAATGTGTGTGCATGTGTGTATGTAACTTGGTGGATTTCTCATCTACCAAAAGCATTTATCTCGATCTCCCAGAAAACCAAAACCCAAAAAAAAGACATCTACCCACTAACTCCCTTTCATGGCAAAGAGTTGCAACTTTCTTATTTTGTGAACCCACAGATAGAAAAACTAGAAAAATGCTAAGTAAAACTGATAGTAGTGGGCATCCCATATATCAACATTTTAATTACAATTTCGCTAAGGCTGCAAACACTTAAAAAAAAAAAAAAAAAAACACTTGGATCACGAAGGGACAACAGGAATCCTTTCATCGAAAAGATTGCTTCTCATGAAGCTACTGAAAACTGAAGATGTGGGCAGTTCTTCAAGCTCGTCAAAGAAGTCATTTTCTTCTGATTTGGGTGTTGAAAATGTCATGAGATTTGGATAAGAGAGGGGCTCTTCATCCAAGAGAAGGCTCAGTGTGTCATGATCTTTTTCTAGATTCTCTGTGAAAGGGTCTTCTTGGTTAATCATAATGTCTTGGGAACAGCTTATTGGGGATTGCAAATAATGAAATTGATCTTCACTTACATCTTCATCAATGGTTGTCACAGTGACCGTGGGTTGATTCTGTGTCTCTTCCTTTTCCTCTTGTGGTTGTTCTTGTTTTGGGGTAGTTGGGTGATCCTCACTATCTTGGATTTCGGGTTCCTTAAATTGCTGGGTCAAATTGATACTGTGAACATCAGGACATGGATGGTTATGGGAAGAGGTATAGGTGATAATAAGCATTGAAGCATCTGTTCTGCATCTCTCTACTTGTTTCTTAGCTGAGCATCCTTTTGATGTGCTGCACTTATAGTACCCCCTGCATGCCATGGATGAACCTAAAAACTTCAAATTTCTTCTTATGGAGAGGGATAACTGAAGGACTAATTCTTTTGAACACTGGTTAAATTTAATTCAAGGCATATCTTTCCCGGTAGTCATTTTATTCAATTTCAAAGACATAATATGAGTTTAACACAAATGAAATTGGCTCTGTTGGAGAATTTTTAAAGATTTAAGACCTGAGATCATCAAGATCTAGTAAGCTTTTAAACCAGGAAATTGAAGAGAAAGAAAGTAAACCTTGGATAAGGAGAACCTTTAATTGGTTTCTGTCCATACTTCCTCCAAGACCAAAAATCTGAAGGTGGACCTTCATTCTTTAGCTTGCCAGCATTTTCTCCAGTTTTCACTCTAACAACAGTCTTCTCAACCACCTTCCTAAAACACTCCACAAAAAATTCAATGTTAAAGAAATATAATAACTTTTAACTGAATTAGCTCCTTAGAACACAAGAACTTGAAGGGAAAAGACAAAAAGTCAAAAATAAAAAGAGTTATAACAACCCACCTTCTTTTGGAAGCCTGAGTTTCAGTTTCTGATTTGAGTTCAGACTCAGTAACCTCTGTGTCCAATTTGGGAGGGAGAGAACCGTCCATAGTTAACTGCTAGCTTCTTTCTATGCTATGCCAGAAAGGAAAACTTTAGAGGAGATCAATTTGCAGATATTACTCCGCAAAGGGGAAAATAACCAAAAGAAATGATCAGGATGAAAGGTGAAGCTCTTAATTAATCAAGAGAGAGAAGAAAGAAAAGAAATAAGATATACAAAAGATGACAAATCCAACAAGGTGCCTCTCTCTTTCTTTTCACGCATTAAATATAAAGCAATGAACAAACAACTACAATATGTACATATCACCATCGAGCTCTCATCTCACCCCACCATGCAATAAAATAATCCACCCACACAGTTGCAAATATAAATGTGAAGATATTTGATTTCATGATAAAACATGTTATGGTTTCTTGCGCCAGTTGATTGGCTGGGAAAACTGTGGGACATGCTTTATGTCCACAACTCATTTTAATGTTGCCATGTGGACATTGTTATGGCGAATATGCCAACTCCCCCAGTCCAAATACTGGACATACACTGCACTTGGCAGACGTGTCGCGTGTTAAAAAAAGAAAGAAAAAAATGAACCCAACCGATAATCGAATAGAAAAATTGATTTATCGAAAAAACGATTTGGTAACAATTTAAGAAATTCTAAAAACCAGATTTTCGATTTAATTATCAGTTCAGAAAAAAATCAAAATCGGTTAATTGAAACTGATTTTTTGAAACGGTTTATATATATATATATATATATATATAAAATTTAAACTAAATACCTAAAAAAATTATTAGCAATGATCAATAGATATGTATGAATGTTTAATTTTTATTTGGATATGTATTGTTTATGTTTACAATTTAATTTAGGAAAAAATTAAAAAAAAAGTTTTATCAAATAAAAAATGGGAAAATCGGTTAACCACTTTATTAACTGGTTTTTTTGGTTAACCGAAAAACCAGTTTTCCCCTCAAATTGGTTCGGTTTGAGAATTTTTCCAAACCAAAAAACCGGTTCGGTTTAGAAAAAGTGGTTAACCGGTTCGGTTAACCGCTTTTGAACACCCCTAGCACTTGGATTTACTCATCCAACCTCTATTAACTTCAACACTAAACTATTATAACTTAAGGTTAAGGGGAAACTCAACAAAAAAGACCAGTTTGATAGGTGAGAGAGTTCATAAGCTTAAGTATCACACTTAGTGGGTGTGAGATCCTGATGTGGGATCCTAACATTGCATCCCCCTTCAAGAGTCGACGTCAACAATGACTTTCGCTCTATCAACACTGACCCGATGGTAGCCCTTTCTCCCTTTGGGCGGCTTCATTCAGCTATCAGTTATTTGATGCAACACTCCCTTCTAAAGAGAGCACATTGTATCTTAATTTAGCCTATAGATAGTCCTTTCCGTAACTCAACTCTCAACGAAAAACATTAATGTTAGAACTTAAACCCAAGGGAGAACCCAACCCAAAATACTGGTCTGATAGGTGAGAGTGTCTATAAGTTTAAGTATCACACTTAATGGGTATAAGATCCGATGTGGTCTAAACATAAACCTTTCATGTTTCTATTTCTTTTTACATGTGATGTTTGATTAAAATATTTATTAGTTTTTACCATTGAGGAAGATTTTAAAAATATATATAGATAGAGAGAGAGAGGTTATTTTGAGGGCTATCATCATTCTCCTCCCTGGAGTCTCCAATTAACTCAATGACCTCCCCTGGAGTGCGTTTTCAAACGGTCAATGACATTGACTTAGGGTTACATGCGTAATTTTACACCCATCATATAAACAAAGGTACACAACTATTTTGAAGTAAAACCTCTTCTTCTTTTTTTCTCCGTCCTTGTACACTCTCTTTCCTTCTTTGTTTCTCTCATTTTCTCGCTCTCTCTACAAGCTTTCTTTCTTCTTTGTCACTCTCTGTTTATTCTCTATATCTACAGTTTCTTTCGTATCTGTCTCTATGAAGAAAAAAGAGGTTTTTTGCTTCAGATCTTGATACCTATTTCTTCTCTATCAAATGCACTTGTTTGTACTATTTTCTTCAATTGTTGGAATGGTGACAGGACTGGGTTTAAAATAGAGAAAGGCGGTATCCGAGTTTCTGTGGTGGTTAGCGGCGACGATAAGTAGCAACTGTAGTGATCCTGATTTATTTGGGTTATCTTGATTTGTATGTAGCTGTTAGTTATTATTGGTGGTGGTGGACTAGGGATTCGATTTCCTTTCGTTATTTTTGAATGTTGAGGATGCTGGCTGGATGTGTGGGTTTTATTGTATTTTACGTTTTTATATCTATGCTTATTTTATTCGAAAATTTTAGGGGGTGTTTGTTTAAACTTATATAGTTGGTCAAACTAATCTATAAGTTCTAAAATTAAATTGACCTGTTTGTTTATAGTTTTTTTGAGTTTATAAGCCAAAAAAAAATAATAAGTTGGGAGAAAGGTACTTTTTTTGTTTTTTTATTTATGAGCACTCTGCTTATAAGCTAGTTTGATCAAGTATATTACTATATTATTCTTGCTTAATTTTAAATTTTAGTTATTTTATAATAAAATATTCTTATAAGCCACATTTTACTAAACACCTTAATTACTTATCAGTCACTTATAAGTACTTTAATCAGACACGTAATTGCTTAAAATTTTAAATGCTTATAAGCTATTATAAGCTAAAATCATTTGTTGTTTTTAAGCTAATTTTTATAAGCTACAAACACCCCCTTAATATGATTCGATCGTTTTAATTCTGAGAATAAGCCAATTTTCTCTACTTTTATAGATAAAAAGGATATTTGGCTTGAAGAAGGTATTTATTATTTTTCTTTGAAATAATATAATTATTTTAGTTTTTCTCAAAAATAAATGTTAGTATTATTTTCAATTTTGTAAAATTATTATGAATTATTTTTTATTATTTAAAAGCGTATCTATTTATTTAGATTTGGTATATATATATATATATACAGTATATATAACTCTTGATCAGACTTAATTAAGATAATTAGTAAAATTTATATTCTATTAGTTCTCTTAAGTGGGAATATGATTTAATTCAAGGAAAAAATAATAAAAGTTATATTCTATTGATTTTCTATGATTTAATTAAGGAAAAAAATAATATTTATTAAATAGTTGTTCTGGGTTTGCAAAAATTAACATATGGACAGCTAATAATTTCTTTCTTTTTTTTTTTTTCTTTTTTTTTTTTTAAAGAATTATGGGTAGAACAATTTTAGTAGGGATATTAGTGACTTTTGAAAGTTTTAGTTGGAATATACCTTAAGAAAACGGCATCTAGGAGAGTAGAGCTGGTCAAGGATCAGTCCCAAGCGGGCTCGGCCTTGGGCCCATTTGGCACTGGTCCCATTTTGGGACTAGTATGAGGAATTTCAGGACCCGGACCGATCCCTAGGATCGGTCTTGGGCCCATAGGTCCTATGGGCCTATAAATTTTTATTTTTCTTCCTATCTTTTTTTATATTTTGGGACGAAATGAAATTATGTAAGGGGATTTAGTAATTTTCAGGGATATATTAGTAAGTAAGTTTAATTAATTTTAAAAAATAATAAATTAATGGTTAATTTTAACATAAATAATATTCACACACAATTACACACTCACGCTTCACAAATAAACAATTAAATAATTTTTTTATTAAATTATTCATCTTCATCGTCAACAATATTTAAATCATTAAAATCTGTGTTCCTAAAAAGTTCAAGTAATTCGGGATCTTTAGGGTGCTATTGTAGTCTTTTCTCTGCATGAGTCCAATCCTGTAAACACGTTATCACTTCAATCATCTCATCAGTTGAAGAGCATCTTTTGTCTTCAACAATCCGGTCACTTGTTGAAAATACTGACTCGGATGCAAATGTAGAAACCGACACAAATAAAATGTCACGTGCCATTTGGGTTACAATGGGAAATCGACTTTGATATTGGTTTCACCATTCAAGCAAATCCATCTTACATTTCTACTTCTTCGTCATGTAAGACATATCCATTTATAGGTAGCGATTCAACTCATTTGGTTAATGTATGTACAAGTTGGAGCTGCTACTTCTGCCATGTTTCATATATGTTCACATGCTCGATCCTTGATGGAGGTCTTCATTAGGGTTCTGATTGTCTTTCCTGGACATTCCACTTCCATTGTACCTGTTCTGATATAAAAAGAAAAAAGGTTTGCCAAATTTTGCTTAAAGTTAGTCAAATAAGACGTATAATCATGTCTTAAATACTGGCCTATCTTAGTAATTATATAGTTAAGTACATGTAATTTAAACCTACGATCTACAACAAGACCTAATCCATATAAGAATGGAACATCTAATCAATATTTCTTATATTTTTCTTCCATCTTTAAAACAATTTCCATTAAAACGTCATTATATCTATATTTAGCAAAAGTTTTAGAAATTTGAAGTAAAATATCTAATGCTAAATTAGTAGCCAGATAATAAATATCACTTAATGTATTAGTGGAATCATAAATTTTTTTAAGAAATGAATAAAAAAGTTCACAAACCGCCCAATCATTATAGCTGCCAACTTCCTCTGTATGGTTCTTCCGGTTGACGAAATCTGTAATTTGTCTTGCGGTTGACAAAGCTTTTTCCAACATCAAATAGGTGGAGTCCCAATGGATAGACTGATAGGCATGTTCGTATATAACTTCAAGTGTCAAACTGGTGGGTCCTCTTACCTACAATATTTGACGTACTCCTACCATCTTTTATTGCTACCACCGATGATAAATCCGATAGTCGCGCGCACCCTCTCCATCTTCCAATGTATAACATCTAAATCAACTTTAACAATCAAATTGATGATGTGACAAACACATCTGTGGTGAAAAAATTTGCCTACACCATGCGAATTCAATTTCTTTTCAAATAAAGATATTGTCGCAGTATTAATAGTTGCATTATCAAGCGTTAGCGCTACAACTCTATCAATTAATACATATTCTTGCAAAACTTCAAGAATCGTAAAATAAATAGTGTCATTACTATATTTTTCATATAATGGTTTAAAACCCATCAATTTTTGTTGTAAACCCTAACTATGATCTAAAAAATGCATTTGACAATTAAAAAATTTGCTTTTGATCTACAAGCCCATATGTCTGATGTAAGTACAATAGATATATTCCTAAAATTTTGAAATTCATTTTTAAGTTTATTATTTATTTTATTATAAAGTTTTAGTATATCTTTTCTACTTGTACTTCTACTAACAAGTGTATATGCTGGATAAAATACAGTTTTAATCATGTGAATAAAATAAGGATTTTCAGATAAACAAATGGGAGAGTCCATAGCAACTATGAATCTTGCTATTTACTCTAATGCAACATGTGCATTGTATTGCCATGTTGAGAGAGTTGAGGATTGTGGATTAAAATTATGTTGAGTTTGAATTTGCCTACCTGATCCGATTGAAGATGTATCAGACAGTTGCATTATTTAAGGGTGTTTTTTCTCCAAGTGTAGTCGCATCGTCGAGGTCCCCTTCTCAGCGCCAATAATGTACCGAACAGCTGTACCGGACAACTGCAACTCAACGGACACGGGTATGGCCCAACCCCCCCAATGACCGTTAGCAGTGGACGGTCATGTGACCGTTGGCAGTGGACGGTCATGTGACTGTTGGCAGTGGACCAATGGTTATTAAATGCAAATTTTTTAATTTTGTAAAATTTTATTTTAACCCCTACAATTTTTGTTTATTTCAAAATTTATAGGGGGGTTTAGTAATTATCCAGGGGCTAAAAAAATAAACCAAAAGGGTTAGGGCCCGGGCCTGGGATCGATCCCAGGCTTGAGCCTTGGAGGAGGGCCCAGTGGAGAGACCAAACCCTCTGTCTTAGGCCTAGTCCGATTTTGGGACCAAGCCTGTTAGGACTGGTCCTCTCAAGGATCGGTCCTAAGACCGGGTTTTTGGACCTGGTCCCAAATGCGCAACTCTACAAGAGAGAGATAAGCATGGGGGTTTCTCAAACAGTTGGCGGGACTTAGGTTTTTGTGTAATCCTCAGGGGAGGAAACTGATATTACCCCTAATATTAAAACTTCATACATTTCTGATTAAATGTAAAATGTAAATTAACAAGTCAATAAAATTCACTTGAAATAAGGGAAATATATTGGGCTGCTCAACTCCTTAAGCTGGAGTGGAAATTATGAAAGCAAGGAGATTAGGAGAAGGAAAATTCTGTCTGTTTTGCTTACATCAGGTTAAGTATGATCCAGGAAGTAATTTTTAGCTCCCACTTAATTCATCTTCACTTCCAATTGATTTTTGTTTTGACAAATTTAATCTTATTTTATTTTAAATTACTATAAATAACATTATAATTTCTAAATCCATTCGTGCTCCATTTTATATTTTTGTTTTAATTTTTATCATTTAATCTTACACCGTAACCCAAATTTTTCATAACTTAATCTTAAATTTTCATAATTACCGAAACATTTTTTTATTTTAAATATTTATCTGTTTGATGAGAATATAATACTAAAACTATGGAAAATATAATCAGATGAGTCTGAATATAAAGAAGAGTAAATAAATTGAAATTAAGAAATTTAGGGGAAAAAAATATATAAAATAAAAAACATAATCAAGTTTGAAATTATAGATATTTTTGATATTAAATAAGGTTTAAAAAGTGTTTTTTAATTATTGAAAATGTGGACTACACCATGGCCATGGTGGGGATGAAGACGATCAAATAGGGAGGCGCTAAAAGTCACTTCCCTATTATCTATTCTTCCAAAATTTGGATATAGTATCTCTCTCTGGGCATATCATATTCGGCCCAAAATAATTATAAGTGAGTTTGGACTGTATTTTGGTTTGTTGATACCTGGACCAGTCTAACCCAAATATATTTTTCCACAGCCCAATCATATATTTATAGAAAACACTTATATGAAATTCTTTAAAAGAATTAATAAAACGTAAATTCAAATTCAAAACGACTTGTTACTTCATGAATTAAATAGAAGCTCTCCGTATGGGTCATATTTTGTATTGAAAAACAAAAGGTAACCAGAAAGATTAACCTGCAAGGCTTCAACCCTCCAATATATGGATGCAACAACTAACTACATTTGCTTTGATTCTCAGCAATTTTCAACTATGATGCTCTTGCTGCCTAATCAACTTCACCTTATAATTAATTCCAGCCCCAATTCCATCACTGTAATGTATGCAGACAACAAGAGCATACTGATATTGATATTTACTGGTAGACATAAAAGAGGTTGTGGTGTTTTCTCAGTTACCAGAAAAGAAAAAACAAACTATTTCAAGGTTCCCAGGAAGGCTATAATAGCTTGAACATTCTAAGTCAAGAAGCCAATAGTTAGCTCTTCTATAGTTCTATCTCAGGGCAAGCAAGCATGCATTTACTTTTGATTTTGAAAGGAGGCTGAGCTTTCTAAGATGATAAGGACAGTTTTTCCTACCAAATGAATCTATAAATTATAACATTTGGCATGCAGGTAAGACTGAGTAATCATACACCGTTCACGCATTCCACAATCCACATCAAGAGATTACAGTTCAACGGGCTAGCATGATCAGAGACCGTCCATCCGCTTACCAACCAATGATTGTCAACCACAAGGTGTTCTGAAATCTGAATCTATGCAGTCGTGACTCATGAACTAATATTTTAATTCAACAAAGAAACGCGAGAAGATTGTTTTGGACTTTGGTTACACGTCATGGAAAGCAAGTGAAGGGGTCAAAGGATTATTTCAATTTTTTATCACACGATGGATGAAAGAAAACAATATTTTCCTTGCCGATAGATTATATAATATGCTAGAGAATAATTATGGGATTAGGTGGTATTATTATTGCCAAAATGAAAAAATATATACAAGCATTATTACATGTTGGATTTATATTATTCCCCATAAAAAAATAAAAATTCATGAACTAGGCATGGAATAAGACCATGTCTTTGTTTCAACTAATTTAAACTATGGACGTGACAACCACTATATTAATGTTCTTCTGCTGAAGCTAATTATAATTCTAATTAATCACATATATAGACCTTATGATCCAAACAAGAAGTAGCTGTTGAAGACAAAAATGGTCTGCCTGCAGAATTTGCAACAGAAGGCTAAGAAGCTCTTGATCGAACCTTTCTACTTCCTCACAATCAATCTCTTAACCCTCTTGCTTCCCCTCTCATTTCTCCTGTTAGCCAGGCTCTCTTGTGCCCATTGTCTCTTAGCCTCTTATGCTACGCAACCACTCTCTTCTTTTCCCTTCTCTTTTTTTCTGTACACAAACCCAGCTATTCTCTATGTCCTTGTTTCAGCTATTAGCATAGCCACTCTTATTCATGGCTTGACAGGTAAACTTACAATTCTAAGCGAGTCACCCGGGGCAGTTTATCAATCTCGTTTGTACACAGCCTGGATTCTCCTTTGTACGTTACAAATTTCTGTTGGACTGGGGATTGAAGGCAGCATAGGGGTTGGAGTTGATGGGTCTAGTTTTGGTATTGAGAGAAGTTTGCTCAGTAGAGTAATATTTTTCTTGGGTTTGCATGAAACTATGCTTCTTTGGTTTAAAACGGTCGTGAAGCCAGTGGTTGATGACACAATTTTTGGGGTTTCAAAAGAGGAGAGGTGGGTGGAGAGAGTGGGGATGGCTTTGACTCTAGGTAGCTTGTGGTGGTGGAAATTGAGAGATGAGGTTGAGTCTCTGGTGGTTGTGCCTGAGGCTAAGAAAGAGTTGTTAATAAGTGTTGGGGTGGCTGACTTTGTTGGTTGGTGGTTGTATTACCTGACCGTCACTATTGGGATGGTTAGGCTTGTTAAGGGTCTACTTTGGCTTGGAATGGTTTTGTTCTGTAAGAGGGTGAGAAAAAATTCTATAACTCACCCTTGCGATGTTGAAGACAAGGTCTGAACACAACTTAACCCTTCTGTTAGTTTTGTAATTTTTTTTTTTTTCAATTATTGTTCTGGTCAACAATTATATTGTATTCTTTCCTACAAGTTGTAAACTTATACCAAACTTATATTATTATGGGAAAAAATATTCATCAATCTTTATAATAGTCTACATCACATATAGCTTTCTTGGGGAAATATAATAAAGGAAGAGAAAAGGAACTCTTTCATCTTTTTATACTTGATGTATCATAACTGAGTTGACAAACTACAAGAATGCCCATGAGCCTAAAAACAGATTGCAATCACTAGTTAAGTATTAGTAACACTGTACAAAATATAGCTGCAATTTATATGCTAGCTCTTTCAAGACCGTGATTTATCATATTCTTACCTACAATTCTGAAACCATAATCTCTCACATGCGTGAGAAAAAATCAGAGTGTTAGCCCAACGGCAGCCCATGTAAAAAAACTAGTAATCAGTGGGCCGTGGCCTCTGTATCTGTAACAATCTTGGTGATCACAGCAAAACATTGCGGACTCACTCCTGCATTAAATTCAAATGGGCCTTAAGCCTCTGTTGCATAAGGAAATGATTTATTTCAGCCAATGTTTTAAAATCCAACCCGGGGTGAAACCTGGCAAAGCTTCTGGGTCCCGAGTTGATCGGTTTAACCGATTTGACAGCTGATCAAACCGGTTGATAAAAACTTTTAAAATTCAGCGAATATACCCCTAAAAATTACAGTAAGTCTTTATAGGTTTGAAATTTATCAAACACACCCCAACTGCAAATCGACCAGCGACTGATTAGCGGCGGTGACACCCCAGATGCAACCCCAATCGTCCCTTGAGCTCATTTCCATCAAATTATACCCAAGATCTGGCCGAAATAGGTTCGATTTTGGCTAGATCTCACTGACGTCGATGTCGGCATTCCAAGTCAGATCCCATTGATTCCGGCAATAACAACCCTTCCCATCACCCCAGAATTACTCCCATTTTCTTCCCGACCAAAACCCCCTAACCCCACCCCCGTTAGCCTCGTAAATCGCCGGAAAAATCTCATCGTTGCCGTTGCCAATTTTGTTCGATTTCCGGTCGATTTACTCACCGGAAATCAAATCTTTCACCACCATTACATTCACCGGAAATAGCTCTTCAAAAGCCCCAACATTCCGACAGTTAATTGTTCGTCGATCATCACCGGAAATGTATTGGGTGAATAGGAAAAAATTAAACCCGGCCCGTTGAAGCTTCCGGGTCCCGGTTGGGTTTTAAAACATTGATTTCAGCCAAAGCTGCATTAGGTTTCATTTCAAGTTTTCAACATCATCAATGCTCCCTAAGCACCACAACATTTGCTAAAGAATAAATATGAATCGACAGACACTTCTTATTAAGTTTCTCTCACAAATGCGACATGACAACTTGCAATTAGTTAGACGAAACTCATTGCAATTGACATGTCGCGTTTGTAAGAGAAAGTTAATGAGAAATGTTTGTCAATGTAGTATTACTCTTTGCTAAAGATTGGAGCAACATATTTTGGAGAAGTCGAGTTCTTACTATCAGAAGCATAAATATAGCTAGCCTAAAATGATACTTTAAACTCTATAGAATCTTCCAATGTATGTGGTGTATTTTCTCTCCAAACTTAGCACCAGATGGCCCTTGTTGTTTTTTTTTTTTTTTTT